TGCAGCCGTGCAGGGGCTGTTGTGGGCCCCGGCACCGGACCGGAGGAGCAGCCCGGGGCCCCCTTTTTTATACCAAAAGACACGGGCGCGCAGAATTCACGTCCCCTGCAGATTATTTCTCCTCCACCCCCCGCAGAAGAAGGGCGTCTGCTGGGGAGGTGCTGCAGTTGCACATTTTGCCCAGCAGGGGCTGCTGTGGTGCCAGACGAGAGGGCAGCTGGAGGGGGCACTTTGGCCTCACCCCCCCATGAAGGTTCCCATGGCCTGGGCTCTCGGCTCCACCCTACTGCTCGGGCGTCGGGCTCCGCTGCACAGGGAGCCGTGGGGCAGGGCCCCGGGGAGACTGGCGAGGCCCAGCTAGACCCTTAGACTCTGCTCCTGTCCCTTAGCCGGGCACAGGGGGCGGGCTCAAGTCAATTGTGGGAGGGGCCAGCTCTGCTGATCGCGACCCTGCCCTAGTCCTCTGCCTCCTGCCCCAGCACCCTGCCCTAGTCCTCTGCCTCCTGCCCCAGCACCCTGCCCTAGTCCTCTGCCTCCTGCCCCAGCACCCTGCCCTAGTCCTCTGCCTCCTGCCCCAGCACCCTGCCCTAGTCCTCTGCCTCCTGCCCCAGCACCCTGCCCTAGTCCTCTGCCTCCTGCCCCAGCACCCTGCCCTAGTCCTCTGCCTCCTGCCCCAGCACCCTGCCCTAGTCCTCTGCCTCCTGCCCCAGCACCCTGCCCTAGTCCTCTGCCTCCTGCCCCAGCACCCTGCCCTAGTCCTCTGCCTCCTGCCCCAGCACCCTGCCCTAGTCCTCTGCCTCCTGCCCCAGCACCCTGCCCTAGTCCTCTGCCTCCTGCCCCAGCACCCTGCCCTAGTCCTCTGCCTCCTGCCCCAGCACCCTGCCCTAGTCCTCTGCCTCCTGCCCCAGCACCCTGCCCTAGTCCTCTGCCTCCTGCCCCAGCACCCTGCCCTAGTCCTCTGCCTCCTGCCCCAGCACCCTGCCCTAGTCCTCTGCCTCCTGCCCCAGCACCCTGCCCTAGTCCTCTGCCTCCTGCCCCAGCACCCTGCCCTAGTCCTCTGCCTCCTGCCCCAGCACCCTGCCCTAGTCCTCTGCCTCCTGCCCCAGCACCCTGCCCTAGTCCTCTGCCTCCTGCCCCAGCACCCTGCCCTAGTCCTCTGCCTCCTGCCCCAGCACCCTGCCCTAGTCCTCTGCCTCCTGCCCCAGCACCCTGCCCTAGTCCTCTGCCTCCTGCCCCAGCACCCTGCCCTAGTCCTCTGCCTCCTGCCCCAGCACCCTGCCCTAGTCCTCTGCCTCCTGCCCCAGCACCCTGCCCTAGTCCTCTGCCTCCTGCCCCAGCACCCTGCCCTAGTCCTCTGCCTCCTGCCCCAGCACCCTGCCCTAGTCCTCTGCCTCCTGCCCCAGCACCCTGCCCTAGTCCTCTGCCTCCTGCCCCAGCACCCTGCCCTAGTCCTCTGCCTCCTGCCCCAGCACCCTGCCCTAGTCCTCTGCCTCCTGCCCCAGCACCCTGCCCTAGTCCTCTGCCTCCTGCCCCAGCACCCTGCCCTAGTCCTCTGCCTCCTGCCCCAGCACCCTGCCCTAGTCCTCTGCCTCCTGCCCCAGCACCCTGCCCTAGTCCTCTGCCTCCTGCCCCAGCACCCTGCCCTAGTCCTCTGCCTCCTGCCCCAGCACCCTGCCCTAGTCCTCTGCCTCCTGCCCCAGCACCCTGCCCTAGTCCTCTGCCTCCTGCCCCAGCACCCTGCCCTAGTCCTCTGCCTCCTGCCCCAGCACCCTGCCCTAGTCCTCTGCCTCCTGCCCCAGCACCCTGCCCTAGTCCTCTGCCTCCTGCCCCAGCACCCTGCCCTAGTCCTCTGCCTCCTGCCCCAGCACCCTGCCCTAGTCCTCTGCCTCCTGCCCCAGCACCCTGCCCTAGTCCTCTGCCTCCTGCCCCAGCACCCTGCCCTAGTCCTCTGCCTCCTGCCCCAGCACCCTGCCCTAGTCCTCTGCCTCCTGCCCCAGCACCCTGCCCTAGTCCTCTGCCTCCTGCCCCAGCACCCTGCCCTAGTCCTCTGCCTCCTGCCCCAGCACCCTGCCCTAGTCCTCTGCCTCCTGCCCCAGCACCCTGCCCTAGTCCTCTGCCTCCTGCCCCAGCACCCTGCCCTAGTCCTCTGCCTCCTGCCCCAGCACCCTGCCCTAGTCCTCTGCCTCCTGCCCCAGCACCCTGCCCTAGTCCTCTGACTCCTGCCCCAGCACCCTGCCCCAGGCCTCTGCCTTCTCCTGCCCCACCTCCTGCCACCCAGCCACCTGCCCCAGCTCTGTGTCTGCTCTCCTCCTCCTGCCCTGCCTTGCCCTGCACCCAGGAACCATTGGCCTTCCCCTCCACAGCCCGGCCCCCGTGTGAACCTGCTCCCACCCCACCTGGCCTGCCTGCCACCAGCCATTGCAGCTCAGGGCCTGGACTGGGGGGGGAGATCTGGTTTGCCCTTCCCAACGGGGGCCCCTCCCCAGCTAGAGCCAGCAGCCAGGTGATGCTGGGCAGGGCTGGGTCCTGTGGGGCTGGATCCCTGGGTGCCCGCCAGCCCAGGTCCATGGCCTGTGGCTTGTCCTGCGCAGCC